GCACACATTGATATTATAGCGGAAGTACGAGTATGTTCACAGCTGGTTGCTTACAAGAAACAACAAACAAGAATACAGAAGCAAGTCGTTCACTTAGTTAACAGTAAAACTCGAGCAAATAAATTAGCGAATAAATTTCCGTGCACAAGTAACGGGTGATTTTTTAAGAGCTTGATACCTTTTTTTTAAAAAAAAACGCATAAAATTTGCAAAATCTCATCGGTTCTTTATTTGAAACGTTAGATTGGTCCATGACATTTACTTTTTGAAGATAATTTCATTTAAATGTTGACCGCGGCTGCGTCTTACGTGGTCCATTCGGAAAGTCCAATTTTGGGCAACTTTTTCGAGCATTTCGGCCGGAATAGCCCGAATTTCTTCGGAAATGTTGTCTTCCAAAGCTGGAATAGTTGCTGGCTTATTTCTGTAGACTTTAGACTTGACGTAGCCCCACAAAAAATAGTCTAAAGGCGTCAAATCGCATGATCTTGGTGGCCAACTTACCGGTCCATTTCTTGAGATGAATTGTTCTCCGAAGTTTTCCCTCAAAATGGCCATAGAATCGCGAGCTGTGTGGCATGTAGCGCCATCTTGTTGAAACCACATGTCAACCAAGTTCAGTTCTTCCATTTTTGGCAACAAAAAGTTTGTTAGCATCGAACGATAGCGATCGCCATTCACCGTAACGTTGCGTCCAACAGCATCTTTGAAAAAATACGGTCCAATGATTCCACCAGCGTACAAACCACACCAAACAGTGCATTTTTCGGGATGCATGGGCAGTTCTTGAACGGCTTCTGGTTGCTCTTCACTCCAAATGCGGCAATTTTGCTTATTTACGAAGCCATTCAACCAGAAATGAGCCTCATCGCTGAACAAAATTTGTCGATAAAAAAGCGGATTTTCTGCCAACTTTTCTAGGTAATAAAATTCAATGATTTGCAAGCGTTGCTCGTTAGTAAGTCTATTCATGATGAAATGTCAAAGCATACTGAGCATCTTTCTCTTTGACACCATGTCTGAAATCCCACGTGATCTGTCAAATACTAATGCATGAAAATCCTAACCTCAAAAAAATCACCCGTTATTAACGCTCGTAACCATGCTTAATTGTAACCATGATTGATGTTGATCCCACTATGACAACTGTCGCCATGTTTGTACATACATACATATGTACAAATACAAATAAATAAATCTAGCAGAATCTAGCAGAATTTCATCTTCATCTTATTTATTTATTCTAAACAATTTGTTTACCTCATTAGTCTGGCGAAAGCACAACCAAATCTTTGTGCGTTCTACATATTTACGTTTCTATGTCCACACTTATACTTCTATGTGCATACATACATATTAGTATGTATAGCGCCTTACAGTGCGCTGTTGCTGCTATTAAGTAAGTCTGTCACAAATTAATCACAGATATGCTCTCACTTTTGTGTCAACATGTATTTAAAGAAAGCATTGTATTTACTTAATGCAATAAATATTTGTATGTATGTATATACATATGAACATGTAATTTCAAAAATGGGCTTCACATCTTTTCACCTTTAGGTAACGATATGTTAATAGAAAGTCACAAAAACAACAAATTAAGCATATTTCATTATCATTAGGTTGAGTATCATAATTAAGCCGTGAAAGAAATCCATTGAAGGCTTGTTTACACAACCCTTAATTAGGTGCATAACGAAAATCACACAATTAGTCACATGGGGTCCCGAGTGGCCCCAATAAAAAAAAGGGATGGCAAAGTCGAAAATTTTAGTGATCGACTTTTCGTTTATGGAACTCGAATTTTCACATTCTTTTTTTTTTTTTTAATTTATTTGTAGTGGCGTCTCTTAAATTAAAACTGTTATTCTAACAAGGGCGCGGAGTGCTTTATGGTCGTTTAAAAAAAAATTGCCAATAAAACTTAAGTGAAATGTGAAAAGTGTGGTAGAGAAATGAATTTTAATGACAGTACAACAAAATTGTCAAATCATTTAATAGCTGCGCATAAAATACCACTCATTTGTTAGTCGTTTGTCTACACAATCTTCAGTAAATAATGAGGTAAGATATACTAAGATGGGCCTTCAGTTCGAATTTGACCAATCCGTAAGGCACAAAATTTTTTAACACCGATCAAAATTTGTCTCGTAGCATTTCAGTTGATATGCGACATTAGTCGCGTGGAGCATCCCAATCCACTAGCTGTCTGGGCTAATTTAAAGGGAGAATACCCAATGTTTATAAAGTGGCATTTAAATTTCTGCCAATACTCGCCACCTCTGTTCCATCGGAAAGGCTATATTTTCAAAAAGCTTTCCGTAATTAGCAAATATCGATTCAAGAAATTTTTGGATTTTTTATAATTATAATTAATAAATTTAATGATATACTACTACTACTTAGGGGCCAAGCGAAAAGGTTTAAAAAGCTTTATTTCGAAATAAGCTTTTATGCTTTCTTAGCCATTTAAAAAATCAAATTCACTGTTAGTCAATATTTGCAAACAAAATATTTTTCGATTTTATAGCAATTTATTTTGAAAGCATTTTACAATAGCATACATAAATACTGTGCCATTTTTATATGGAAATCGATTGACTTTCCGTTTTTTGGCGAGAATGCGTAGCTTTTCTGAATTTTATTGAATATTTATTTGTGAATATTTTTTCCTTTTCTTGTTCAGCCTTTTTTTAACCCAAACACTGTACAATATATTCAAATAACCACACAAAGGATCACCGTATCAAATCGTTTCACAATCTGCATAACGCATAAATGCTTGTTAAAGAAAATTTCGCTAGTAACAGCACGCTAAACAACAAATAAACTAACATACAAAATGAGCTTTTAATACGGCCTATCGCCAAACATGTTCAGTAGGGTGGAGCGAAGAGTTAAATTCTCCGATTTGGAAACAGTAATAGTGCGGAATTGTTGAATCGGGATAAACTATTTTCCTTTCGGATATTGCGGTCGCTAAAAGAGCCTTAAAGCTTTGAAAAATTTCTCAAATTTTGTTATTTTTATACTTTTTTTTTTAAGAATTTTTTGAAAGTTTTGTAGCCCATTAAATTTTAATATAATAAATTATAAGTTTCAAGTTACATGTTACGCAACTTTTCCCTACTATTATAATACCCAAATCGAAAAATTTATTTTTTTCGCTACACCCTAATGTCCAGTTAGACAATCATTAAACCCGCCTGCAACCGCCATGGTAAAGGCAAGAAGTGCAATGAACCCGTTCGTATGTATTTTGTAGCTAATCGAAGCAGTTTGTTGCCGACAACACTGAAGTACTATAGCGCAACATGTCATCGCCACCGACTGCTGTTGCCATAAGATAAAGATGTTGTTTTTCCATATACATACATACATATGTATGTACATGTATAAATTGTTGTACATGTGTTTGGTTGTTTTTTTTTTGTTTTTGCTGCTATTTTTATCGTTAGTGTTGATGATATTAGGCGATAATTTATGAAATATCTAACACGCCATTAAATTGCTTGAAATTGGTAAAAAGTGTGCCGCCGACGTCACTATCGTTCTTGCAGTTAACGTCGACATCGCCTGGGACTCATTAACGGCACGCGAATCATTGACATCATTTATCATACAAACTCGCTGTCATTGTATATGTATGTAGCTGCTAACTGCCGCCATTGGGACGGACCTGTCGCGCTTGCCGGCTGCTGCTCTACGAGTAGTTAACCGTTGACGACTTTTGCACGACCATTTTCGAGATGTTGGGAACATGCTGCCAATCAAATCACTGCAATACAAATTCTTAAAGCACCAAAGCGCTGGCAATTGTTAAAGTTTCTAAGACTATTATGTACTTACTCAGCAACATTGTTAAGTGGTTGTTAATGCCATTAAGATGCCAGATTAGATTGCAAATTAATGTAGTCGAATTTTTGCTGGTTGACAGCATACACGTGCTACACATCCTGAGTATAGCAGCAAAAGAAGTTTATAATAAATTAATTTCATAGATTCAGTGAATAATGAAAAATTTATAATGAATAATGAGTTAAATCATACAAATATTTTGTTCATCCCTACATTGTCTTTATCGGACTCTCCCCCTTAATAATTCGGTATCCTCTATTTGACAGCACAGAAACTGGCTCTAACATGAAAAATATTTAGTAAGTAAAACCAATCAGTTTCTGAAAAAACTTTCAAATTATTGCCCGTTTTCCACTGTTGATTAAATTTAAAACAATTCTAGAGCCCGGGGCTGAAGGAATACCGACTAAGCCAGCGGCGATGAACTGGTTGCGCACGTGTGCCAATCGTTAAGTTCATTTTAGTCTTGTTGAATACATCATCGGGTATTGGAATGTACTTTGTCCAATTCATAATAAAGGAGAAGCTGTTGGTTCCGAGTATTACCGAGGGGAAAAGCCTTCTTAAATTGGTGTACAAGGTTCTACTGACGATACAATGCGAAAGATTTAAGCCCTTCAGGGCAGACACTTCGACCATTGAGCCATATACCAAATGTGTTCTCCTTAGAATTTTTGAGGATTTCTGACCACGGAAAATCTCCGATTGGTTGGTCTGAACGCAATTTGTGTGTTCTAACTTAGTGGGAAGGGTCCTTTTAATAAAGTAATAAGTGAATATATACACATACACATATGTATGTATATGATTTGGTACAAATTGGTTTTCCTTAAATTTTTGTGTTGCACTTAGAATTTTTTGTAAAATTGTTAGCTTCAATTTTCAAAAGTACGAAAGAAGTAAATAGAACCTCAATGGCAAATGTAATCACACATAAAACTGTCACATAAACGACCATATGTTGCTTAGTGAAATCATAACTGAAAACTAAAACTGACATTTGCCAGATGCATTTACTAATTAAGTACGATTCTCTTATGTAAGTCAGAGCGAGAGCAAAAGCGCAATAGAGTGACTGGAGTATCTCATTCATATCAGATGATATTGCAAAATAGTGTTATAACATTGAATTTCTTGCGAAGGACAACCGCGTGGATTGCAATTGGTTAGCTCAAGTGGAAACGTAAAATGTGAAAATGCAATAAAAAGTGAAGCAAATGCAGCAACGTTATCGCCGTTAGCTTTGCCACTGCGCAGGCAAACACAAATTCACTACAACCTTCGCAGCAATGGAAAATATGCGACGGAAGAACGGAATGACAGTGTGTAAATACTTAATGATGCGAAACAAATTGCTGTAGCAACAGTTGAAAGTCTGAGAAAAAAATTCGAAATTAAACAAAAACATATATGTACATATGTACATTGGACCAAGTAAACAAAAAATCAATCCTGCAGTGCGAACGGAACATGAGCAAATTTTAGTATTTGTTGTGGTAATCCGTTCCCTACGATAATTCCAAGAGGTACACCCAGGGTTTCCGTTTGGCGAGGGGATGAAATGGGGGAGGGAGAAGAGGGGGTGGAGGGTTGTGTATGTGCGTGTTTAAACAGATCACACACTACGCAGTGCATTTTTTTATTGTCACCTGGACAAACAGACTAAAATCTAGGATTGTCCGGTCAAAAAACGTAAACATAGCAAACCTGGGTACGCCATCGAGGGTTTTGATTGATCGTAAAAAATTTTATTAACCTAAAAAGAAGAAATAATTTTCTTGCGGGTTATTCCTGCGTAGGGAGAGAGGAGATTCGTGGAGTACTAAAATTTGAGTCTGGTTCCGGGCGAATTACAAGATTTTATTTGCACCTTGGTCTCATGTATATTAGGGTGGTTCAAAAAAAAGTAGGTTCGGATTTTCTATATCGAAGAAAATTATACCCTCAATTTTTTTATTTGGAAATCAAGAAATATTTTGAAGTCGCTCAAAGCGCTCAAAGTTTCCCTGTAGTGTATATGGAAAAAAAATTTCTATAGAAAAATTATATTTTTCGATTGGAAAAGTTTTATAGATCCCCTAAAACCTCAAAAAATGCAATCAAAGGACCCATAAGAAATCATTAGTTTTAACAAGTAAGAAAGTCTAAGTTCGGGCGGAGCCGAACATTAAATACCGGGCGCAAGTATTAAATATATGTTTTCCACCTTTCCGAAAGCTACCGCTACATGATAAGCCGGGGTGTATACATTTTAAGTAAATTAGCGTCCTTAAATTTCGAAGTATTGAAATTTCAAGCATATCTGAAATTTACCGTTATATGAAAAGCGGCCTCAATTTTAGTCCGATTTCAACAATTTTCAACGGTTTGCTTTTATGTGGCAAGCACAATAACCATACCGACCTTGGTACAAATTGCTAGAACGGTTAGCGAGATACATATATGTGATCATAAGTGGGCGGTGCTACGCCCATTCTCCAAAATTTTGTCATAAACGTATTTCTTGGTAAAGAATTGTTGCAATCATCAATTTTCAATAAATTAGCTTCAATATTTACTGATTTATCGAAGATTTTGTAGTTCTCGAAATTACCGTTATATGGGATGTGGGCGTGGTTATTGTCCGATTTTAGAAATTTTCGGCCAGTTGGTATGCTGTACGAGGACCAACAACTGTGCCAAGTTTGGAAGAAATTGGTGTAGCGGTTACCAAGATATACACATGTAACCATAAGTAGGCGTGGCTACGCCCATTTGCCAATATTTTGTAATATTCTTATTTTTCGTCTAAAGATCATTGCAAATATCAATTTTGAGTGAATTATCTTCAGTAGTTACTAAAATTTCGCAGTTTTCGTTTTTCTGAAAATTACCGTTATATGGGAGGTAGGCGTGGTTATTGTCCGATTTTTAAAATTTTCAGCCATTTAGTATGCTGTACTAAGGCCAACAACTGTACCAAGTTTGGAAGAAATTCGTGCAGCGGTTACCAAGATATACACATGTAACCATAAGTGGGCGTGGCTACGCCCATTTTCCAAAAATTTATAATATCCATGTTTTCCGCCTGAAACTCATTGTAAGTATCAATTTTGAGTGATTTAACTTCAGTAGTTACTAAAATATCGCAGTTTTCGTATTTCTTAAAATTACCGTTATATGGGAGGTAGGCGTGGTTATTATCCGATTTCGCCCATTTTCAATACCATCCGTCCCACGCCCAAAAGAAGTTCACGTACCAAGTTTCGTTAAGATATCTCAATTTTACTCGACTTATCGTGTGCACAGACGGACGGACGGACGGACGGACGGACGGACGGACAGACAGTCACCGCTTAATCGATTTCTCTTTTCATTCTGATCATTTATGTATACATTTGTCTATATCTATCTCGATTTGTTTTGCCTGTTACAAACAACCGTTATGTGAACAAAGTTATAATACCCTTGTGCACAAGTGCGCTCGGGTATAAAAATTGTTCATATACCGATAGCTCTGTATGTAATGTATACGCCCCGTAGCACCATAAGCAGTCATTTAACGCCTTTACTCCTACGCCTTAACTGGCAAGTAATTAACTATTGGCGTGGAAGATTTTTACACAGTATTCCTTATGCACATGTATAACACTTTTTTCATGTAGTTATGTAACAATTTTTGAATGAATTTCGAATGTGTTAAAAAAAATTGTCAAAATGGAATTTTAGTTTCTCAAACCATAGTCATCTTTTCTTCTTCTTCTTCTTATTTGGCGCTGTAACTGCCTAAGCGATTTTGGCCGAGTCCAAAACAGCACGCCAGTCATTTCTCTTCTGTGCTAACTGACGCCAATTGAAAATGCCAAGTGAAGCCAAGTCCTTCTCCACCTGGTCTTTCCAACGCAGAGGAGGCCTTCCTCTTCCTCTGTTCCCAGCATCGCGGCCCGCGTTTAATATTTTCAGAGCAGGAGCGTTTCTGTCCATCCGAACGACATGGCCAAGCCAGCGGAGCCGCTGAATTTTAATTCGCTGCACTATGTCTATATCGTTGTAAAGCTCATACAGCTCATCGTTAAATCGTCTGCGATATTCGCCATCACCAACGCGTAAAGGTCCGTAAATCTTTCGCAGAATCTTTCTCTCGAAAACTCCAAGAGCCGCCTCATCAGATGCTTTCATTGTCCATGCTTCCGCGCCATACACCAGCACAGGCATGATGAGTGACTTATAGAGTGTGATCTTTGTACGACGAGAGAGGACTTTACTTCTCAATTGCCTACTCAGCCCAAAGTAGCACTTGTTGGCAAGAGTGATTCTCCGTTGGATTTCAAGGCTGACATTATTATTGGTGTTAATGCTGGTTCCCAAATAAACGAAGTCGTCTACTTTTTCAAACTTGTAACTGTCAACAGTGACGTGGGTGCCAAGACGCGTATGCTCTAACTGTTTGTGTGCTGACAGGAGATACTTCGTTTTGTCCTCGTTCACCACCAGACCCATTCGCTTCGCTTCTCTATCCAATCCCGAGAAGGCAGAACAGACGTAGCCCTTGTTTTTACCGATAATATCGATGTCGTCGGCATACGCCAGCAATTGTACGCTCTTATAAAGTATTGTGCCTGAGCGGTTCAGTTCTGCGGCTCTTATTATCTTCTCCAACATAAGATTAAAGAAATCACACGAAAGGGGGTCCCCTTGTCTGAAACCTCGTTTGGTATCAAACGGCTCGGAGAGGTCCTTCCCTATTCTGACGGAGCTGGTGGTATTGCTCAACGTCATTTTACACAGCCGTATTAGTTTCGCGGGGATACCAAATTCAGACATCGCGGCATAAAGGCAACTTCTCTTCGTGCTGTCGAAAGCGGCTTTGAAATAGACAAATAGATGGTGTGTGTCGATCCTATTCTCGCGGGTCTTTTCCAAGATTTGGCGTATTGTGAATACCTGATCTATGGTGGATTTTCCAGGCCTAAAGCCACACTGATAAGGTCCAATCAGCTCGTTGACGGTGGGCTTCAGTCTTTCGCACAATACGCTCGATAAGACCTTGTAACCTATGCTTAGAAGGCTAATTCCGCGGTAGTTGGCGCGTATGGCGGGGTCGCCTTTCTTGTGGATTGGGCAGAGCACACTTAAATTCCAGTCGTCGGGCATGCGTTCATCTGACCATATTCTGCATACGAGCTGATGCATGCATCAGCTCCTCGCCGCCGTACTTGAATAGCTCGGCTGGCAGGCCGTCAGCTCCAGCAGCTTTGTTGTTTTTCAGCCGCGTAATCGCTATTCGTACCTCGTCATAGTCAGGCGGTGGGACAGCTACTCCATCATCATCGACTGGGGACTCGGGTTCGTCTTCCTCACTACTTTCAGCGCTGCTACCATTCAGTAGGTTATAAAAGTGTTCCCTCCACAATTTAAGTATATTCTGGACATCGGTCACTAGGTCGCCATTGTTGTTCTTACAGGAGTTCGCCCCGGTCTTGAAACCTTCCGTAAGTCGCCTAACCCTCTGGTAGAATTTTCGGGCGTTCTTCCTGTCGGCCAGCATCTCAAGCTCTTCGCACTCACGTATTTCGGCCTCTCTCTTCTTATTGCGGCAAATACGTCTCGCTTCCTTCTTCAGTTCCCTATAACGGTCCCACAAGGCTCGCGTTGCGCCCGATCGCAGCGTGGCCCTGTAGGCGGCATCTTTTTTCTCTGCGGCTTCTTGACATTCCTCATCGTACCAGTTGTTCTTTCGGGCTCGCTGAAATCCAACTACTTCTTCGGCGGCGGTACTTAATGATCGGGAAGTGTGGTTCCACTGCTCGCGTACGTCGGATTGTTGAAGAGTGCTCTCAGAGAGCAGGTGTGTGAGTCGAGTGGCGAATAAATTGGCCGTCTGTTGTGATTGCAGCTTTTCGACGTTAAGCTTTCCTTGCATTGTTGGGCGCACATTTTTTGCTGCACAGAGGCGGGTGCGTATCTTGGCTACAACAAGATAGTGGTCCGAGTCGATGTTTGGCCCTCGGAGTGTACGTACGTCCAAAACGCTTGAAGCATGCCTTCCGTCTATCACAACATGATCGATTTGGTTTCTCGTTTTTCGATCTGGAGACAGCCATGTAGCTCGGTGGATGTTCTTATGCTGGAACCTAGTACTACATATTACCATATTTCGGGCCCCGGCGAAGTCGATCAGCCTCAGTCCGTTATCGGACGTCTCGTCGTGGAGGCTGAATTTTCCGACAGTGGCGCCAAAGATCCCTTCCTTGTCCACCTTGGCATTAAAATCGCCAAGCACGATTTTGACATCGTGTCGGGGGCAGCGCTCATATGTACGTTCCAAGCGCTCATAGAAGAGATCCTTGG